TATCTAGACAAAGTGCACCGTGGTGTGGGTACATGATATCTAGACAAAGTGCACCGTGGTGTGTGTGTTTGTGCGCCTATGTTGACAGTGCACCGTGGTGTCGGTACATGTTCTCTTGACAAAAGCGGCTAGTGGTTTAAGTCCATAATATCTTGTATAGCTTGACAAAGTACACCATAATATGCATACGTTATATCCTGACAAAGCACACCATATTATGCATAGTATTCATTATATCTTGACACAGCACACCACAGCATGCGTACAATATTTCTTGACAAAGCACACCACAGCATGCGTACATTATATCTTGACAAAGCGCCCCGTGGTGTGGGTACACGAGATCTCCAGCACGCCACATTCCACGCACGCCATACCAACTCGGCCCTGGGTGCCAGGGTATGTGAACAGGCTGCCACGGCATTTCTGACTGCTCGAGTTCAGCCATTACCTGTCACCAAGGATTGGGCTATAGCATCTGCCATTGGCATTGTTGTACCGTTGTTGTACCGTGGAAGTTGTTGTACCGTCTTTGTACCTGCTTGTCATCTCGTAAGGGCAGTGTTAAATGTCAGGTGCAGATAGGGCCAACAGCTTGTGAAGTCAGCTGTACACATTGAAGATATCCTAGAGCACGCCCGTAAAAAAATAGCAATAACAGCAGCGGAATATCTAATACCAGCACACATATCTCACACCAGTCTTAACACACATATCTCACACCAGTCTTAACACACATATCTCACACCAGTCTTAACACACATATCTCACACCAGTCTTAACACACATATCTCATAACGATCTTAACACTCATATCTCATAAAAATCTGAACACTCATATCTCACAACAGTCTTAACACACATATCTCACAACAGTCTTAACACACATATCTCATAACAGTCTTAACTCACCTATCTCATAATAATCTTAACTCACCTATCTCATAACAATCTTAACACACATATCTCATAACAATCTTAACACACATATCTCATAACAATCTTAACACACATATCTCATAACAATCTTAACACACATATCTCACAACAGTCTTAACACACATATCTCATAACAATCTTAACACACATATCTCACAACAGTCTTAACACACATATCTCAGAACAATCTTAACACACATATCTCACAACAATCTTAACACACATATCTCACAACAATCTTAACACACACATCTCTCAACAATCTTAACACACACATCTCACAACAATCTTAACACACACATCTCACAACAATCTTAACACACACATCTCACAACAATCTTAACACACACATCTCACAACAATCTTAACACACACATCTCACAACAATCTTAACACACATATCTCATAACAATCTTAACACACATATCTCACTTACCATGATCTTAACTAATCTGACTATGATCTTAACTAACAAATCTCACAATGATCTTTAAACAATTTCAAACATTATTGATGTGAAAAATATGAAATAATTTATTTTTGTAAACAAAAGTAAATGAAGGCAAAATTTAAACTTAAATTTCCAATCACTTGATATGGTTCAGTTTTGTTTTCTGCCTTTATAGAATTGTTAACTGTTTAAAAAAATATATATAAATTGTTTAATTTTACAACCAGGCAGCAAAATAGTAGCTTGTGAAAATGACCACATTTGTTATGTAATCTTATGTTCTGTAGTAAGAATAGATGACCAGGTGCTGCCCAACACATTGAAACCGAGGCGCCACTTTAAGGCATTGGGAGTATAGTTGTTTTTGTTGTTGTTGTTTTTTTTTTGTTGTTGTTTTTTTTTTTTGTCCATTTAGCCTACTACAAGTAGGTAAATATTGCCTCAGTTATAAATAATGAAATATATATTTTCTTATGATGGAGAACCCTAATTGAAAATAGGAAAACAAATTTTCTTTACTAACATTTAGGCGACATGAAGAAGAAAATGTCACTTACTAGTTTTAACTATGAAGATAGAGCGAAAGTCACGCTGTTGTAGCATCATGTATCATAACGTAGGGAGGTTTTCTTTGGATACCTTTGTAGATTTTTCCATAACGTCTTAAATGAAAATACATGTTACGTTTAGTGCACTTCAACAAGTACACTTAAACCAGTGCACATAAAAAGCACATACATAAGTGCACATCAACAAGTGCATATAGACAAGAGCACATAAATAAGTGCACATCAACAAGTGCACATAGACAAGAGCACATAAATAAGTGCACATCAACAAGCGCACATAGACAAGAGCACATAAATAAGTGCACATCAACAAGTGCACATAGACAAGAGCACATAAATAAGTGCACATCAACAAGTGCACATAGACAAGAGCACATACATAATCAACACACTTAAACCACGATTTCTATTAATAATTTTGGACATTGCGAGAAAATGTCCAAACTTATTGGGTTTTTATTTTAAGTTAACATTCCAATGTCTACAGAGAGAGAGAGAGATTATCGTCAAGACTGAGCAGTTGTGAGATTCAGTGGTTGTGAGATTCAGTGGTTGTGAGATTCAGTTATAGTTGTGAGATTCAGTAGTTGTGAGATTCAGTGGTTGTGAGATTCAGTAGTTGTGAGATTCAGTGGTTGTGAGATTTGTGAGATTCAGTGGTTGTGAGATTTGTGAGATTCAGTGGTTGTGAGATTCAGTAGTTGTGAGATTCAGTAGTTGTGAGATTCAGTAGTTGTGAGATTCAGTAGTTGTGTGATTCAGTAGTTGTGAGATTCAGTGGTTGTGAGATTCAGTACTTGTGAGATTCAGTACTTGTGAGATTCAGTAGTTGTGAGATTCAGTACTTGTGAGATTCAGTAGTTGTGAGATTCAGTGGTTGTGAGATTCAGTTATAGTTGTGAGATTCAGTAAATGTGAGATTCAGTGGTTGTGAGATTCAGTAGTTGTGAGATTCAGTAGTTGTGAGATTCAGTAGTTGTGAGATTCAGTGTGTGTGAGATTCAGTAGTTGTGAGATTCAGTAGTTATGAGATTCATTAGTTGTGAGATTCAGTCCTCCCCACTACCGGGGCGCCAATTGACAAGTCTTTTTTTTTAAAAAGTCCTACTACACAGCAAGTGAAGACTTAGCGTTTATATGCGTACGTACAATATTTGTTGAAGCCGATTGTTATAGAGAGCTTGTTTACATAATATTTCTCGTGCATGCCCTCTGATTGATCCCGCATGAGACGCTGTGTTCACAAAGGGGTGTGGCTTAGGCCTTTGAAGTATTCTTGTTTACACCGCCAAACTACTAAAAATAATTAATCTGTTCCAAGTAGTGTTTTGTAGAATGATTCTGATGGTTCTAGAAATGTCATGTAGCTTGTCGAAGGCAGGGCTTAGGCGTCGGTAGACCCACCTATATAAGGGATTGACAGGCACGGACAAGGGACGGAGATTTCATATAGATTTTCTTAACATTACGAGGCGTGTTTTATTTCTTTGTGTATTTGTGTGCTCATATGTGTTTATTTCGCATTATTTATTGGCACATTATTCTAACTGTGTTAACTGTGTACCGGTACAAGATCTACCATACTGTAAGTTGAAGATTGTAATTATATTTTCTTTTCTTTTGTAATTATCTTAAGACTTAATAAATCTTATTAATTGTAACTAGAAACTGTTTTGGGTCGTATCTTTAATATTGTTGATTCTATGGTATCGTCCTTTGTTAGGCACTGTTTACAACGAGCCAATTAAAATTAAAATAGGAGATTAATTTCTCCCAATACAAGTCAGTGCGTAACACCGATGTTTAGAGAGTGTTGTGTTGTCAGATTTGAGCTTTAAAATCCATCAATGTCTTCCATATTGACGTGATAACCACAGCACATCCATCAATGCCTTCCCTATTGACGTGATAACCACAGCACACCCCACCTATCTCCCCCAACTATCCCCTCGACCTGTCTCCTCCACCTCCCGTCATGTTGGTGCAGTAATCAAATTAGTCCTCTAATGCTGTATCCCATGAGGCAATGCTGCCAATATTTCTCATGTAGATTTAATGTATTCTCTACATGCGTTTTTCAATGGTGCGCCACATTAAGGAATTACCCCAACAATCTAATTTTAAAAAAATAATAAAAATAATATTAAAAATAACGCTTATATATTTAAAATAAATTATTCTTTATTAAATTTTATGTCAAGGCAAAATGTCCCTTTCTATTTTAAAATTATTGCACGAGTTATGTAAAAAAAAAATACATTTTAGCTCTACAGATGTCTTTCAGATCTTCACTTTATTTAAACCATTATTGAAGATTGCTTTTAAACTCGAATATGTTTATGAAGTTATGGCTCTGGACTTTTAAATCAAAAGTCGCCTAGATTTTCCTTGAAATTGTATGTTGCCTTTTCTCGACAGTACTTTACTCTACAGTGCTTTACTGTAAGCACTTTACTTTACAGTGCCTTACTCTACAGTGCGTTACTTTACAGTGCTTTACAGTGGTTTACGCTACAGTGCTTTACTCTACATTGCTTTACTCTACAGTGCTTTACTCTACTGTAATTTATTCTGCATTACTTTATTCTACAGTGCCTTACTCTACAGTGCTTTACTCTGCAGTGCTTTACTATACAGTGCTTTACTATACAGTGCTTTACTCTACAGTGCTTTACTCGACAGTGCTTTACTCGACAATGCTTTACTCGACAGTGCTTTACCGTAAAGTACTTTACTCTACAGTTCTTTACTCTACACTACTTTACTCAATAGTGCTTTAATCTACAGTGATTTACTCAAAGAGCTATATCTGAAAATATATTTCTATTTTCCTGGTTATGTATAGAATAAGTTATAAAATTAAAAAATAAGAATTTTACTGAATCTTCCTTTTTCAATAAATATTTAAAGAAGCCAATATTAACAAGGTTCAAGGCCGAACAAATCAATGATTGTGTTTCGATCTGTTTCAGGAGTTTCCCCGATCGTGTTCATCTGAAGACAGCTGCGGAGAGGCCAACAGGGGCGACCACTTTTTGGAGCATCGCTCTCGGAAACGAGGCCTGAAGCAGGACGCCTCCCCGAGCAGTGAAGCAGCCAGAAAGGCCAGACGGAAGAGCCCCCAGTCCCCCGAGGAGCTCCAGGTCCAGCGCTGTCTGGCCAACGTCCGCGAACGCCAAAGGACGGAGTCTTTAAACGAAGCCTTCTCCCAGCTGAGGAAGATCATTCCGACGCTGCCCTCGGACAAGCTCAGCAAGATTCAAACGCTGAAGCTCGCGTGCAGATACATTGACTTCCTGTTTCAGATCTTGCGGAGCGACGAGGCCGAGATGAAGTACTTCCCGTCCAGCTGCAGCTACATGGCCCACGAACGGCTGAGTTACGCCTTCAGCGTCTGGCGAATGGAAGGGGCGTGGCACATGACAGGGCACTAGCTGTCACACAAGACGAGGCCGTGGAACGGACGAGGAACACGTGACATGTATATAAACACAGTGCGACATATGCAAAATATGCCCCGGGAACGTTTTCATTTCTGTACGTCACTATATAAACAACAAACAAGTACGTCACGACAACAATCACGTTGAGATGACGACACCTACTTTACATTTTAGCCGGAAGTTGTTTTTTGAAGGTGCATTATTTAGAAATATATCGCATGTGTTTCCTTCTAGTCATTACATAGATCAAGTATTGCTCGAAAAGGGTTGATCAAATGGAAAGCTGAGGTGTTTTGAAAAGTCCATACATTCTAAGTTTAAAGATGCATTTGAAGACGGAAAAAATGAAATGGATTTTGTCGAATATGTTCAATGTATGAGAGAAAATCTTACTGTCGATGTCGTTCGTGTTATCCTAAAAAACAGGAGCAGCTTATAGTTTTATCTTTGTGGACTGTTGTTCCACCTTTGGTGCCTTGTGCCACCTACAGTGCCTTGTGCCACCTATGGTGCCTTGTGCCACCTATGGTGCCTTGTGCCGCCTATGCTGCCCTGTGCCGCCTATGGTGCCCTGTGCCACCTATGGTGCCTTGTGCCACCTATGGTGCCTTGTGCCACCTATGGTGCCTTGTGCCACCTATGATGCTTGATCGTTTTCGCTCTTGTGTTCGCTGTCGATTTTCGGGTTACAAGGTCAATGCCCTGCCCATGATGACGGCTTCTATGTGTATGTCCTGTTCCGAGTTCATGGTTTAATGTGCACTGTATTTAAAATAATAACAGTCATGACATAGATGATACAACGGACCATTTTTGTGTAGATCTGTCGCCTGTAGATGCGCCATGTCCCAATAAAACAAAAATTCAAGTATTCAAACAGTTTTATAAAGAACTATGACGAGAGCCATTAGAAGCTACCACAGACAAATGGTTTATGTTGTTTGTTGGGAGCCCCCCCCCCCTCCCCAGTGTTTGGTGACCGGCTAGCAAGCGCCCTATATTATTTCTCTATCTACGAATTTAAGAAAACCAGAGAATCACGGTGTTGTGTCCATGTTTCCAATTCTTGAGGAATATGAAGAGTGACAATAATTCTATGGATTACCTTGTGATGAAATAAAGCTTTACTGGATGGCTGATTCCAAAGTGCCTACAAGCTCTTCAGTTTCTGTCGCGCTAATGTGCTATTTACTACAAGTCTTTGTGTAGTGTAATCTTTGCCGGCATTTTTATGTTTGTAATAATATGTAAAGTATCGCTGTATACACGTACTATAGCTATCGAGTGACCGCACTGTCTTGTATTTTTTATGAATGTCAGTGCCTGGTATAAATAGATATGTTCTGTCGTGCGGTAGCCTTTTGGGTACAAGGATATACCACAGCTTTCAAACAGTCCCTTACTCACAACATGCTTGACCGGGGCCTCCTGTTATCACCGTACAGTCAATTATTTAGCAGACGTTCGGAATAGTGGAAAATGGTTTTTTTTTTTTTTTTTTTTTTTTTTGGGGGGGGGGGGGTATTATCAGACTTAATTAAGATTATAACTTTAAAAAAACCCACCCCATTGTTCTCAACGCGATGTGTTTAAAACATGAGGATGAGATAAAAAGTTTCCTAGCCTAATTAAGAAATGGAAGATATTCTTTGGTAGTTCAGAAATGAATTAAAATAGAAAATAAGTTTATAGTATAGTCAATTAAACGTACAATTTTAAATCATCAGTTAGGTTTTGTGGAGGGTCACAGTGGGTCTCAAATCGTTGTTTTTTTTTTTTATTTGTGATGTGAACATTTTTAAAGTAGTATTCACGGGTCAGGAAAATTTGAGTAAATAATTTTGTCAAAGTTTTAAATAATAATTGACTGCTTTGAAAAAAATATTTTACTACTTTTAAATAATAGTTGGCTACTTTTAAATAATAATTTACTACTTTTAAATAGTCTAGTAATTGACTAATTTTGAATAATAATTGAATCCATTACATAATTGAAATTCTTACTATTTATCAAGTTCTTTTTTACTAATTCATTAATTATTTTATCCCAACAACTGGTCTGACGCAGAAGACGAACTTTAAATTATTTTTTTTACAAATTTAAGGGAAGCTATACCTTTTTTTGTGTCATAGAATGCATTGTCTTCTTTTTCCAAGAATATACATATTTATAATATGTGCATCTAATAAGATTCTGGTATAATATATGCCCATTACTTGTAAACTATGAAATGACGAAATAAAATCCACTTGCACACTACGTTTGCAGCACACAATCATTGAGACCTTTGTCCTCTTTGACTAACAGAGTGTTGACCTATGAGCGAGATGAACAGTTCGCTAAACGTATTGTAATGTGTGTTGTTGTATTGAAAAAGAAACTTTAAAATAATAAATCTTAATGTCGGAATTGTAGCCACTATTTGGTGAACCGTGTCCAAGTTTTTTTTTAAATTTCAGGTATCTCTCCGAGGAAAGGGGGGGGGGGACACATCCCCCCCCGGGGAAAGTCAAATGCGCCCCCTCTCCCCCGGCCGAAGCAAAATTATTAAAAACAATACAACGATTATAATGTTTTTAAAATTAAAAACTTCTCAACTGTCAATTTAAACAAGCTTTGAATAGAGTAGTAACTGGTGCCTTGATCCGATTACAATTAAGGGAATCTGTTTAATATCGCTACGCTCGATGTAATTGATGACCGGCATATTTAAGGCTAATCTTGTTAAAGGCTTATAGTAGTATTCGATTATAATAGCGTACTGGCATTTCATGACTATAAGTCGAAGCCTTACTTCCCGTTGTTGGCACCCATCGGGACTTTTATTCATTTCTTTTTTGTTTGTGGATTCACAAATTTTGAGACTTTTAATAACATTGTATTTAAATACTTTTACATCAAGATCAAGGAATACAATTCTGGAACAGTTTGACTCAATCTTTAAGGCGATTAGAAAATGATAAAAAAAAATCATTTAAGACTTTTATAACACTGTATTTAAATACTTTTACATCAAGATCAAGGAATACAATTCTGCCTCAAACTTTAAGGCGAATAGAAAATGATAAAAAAAATCATTTTAGAAACATTTACTGACTTTATTTGTTTAAATGAAATAGATTTAAGAACACCAGAGCGCAGTGAGCACGGCTCAGGTAGGATGGATAACAGCGATATATATATATATAATATAAATATCAAATCAATCAATACAATTTTAGTGACATTTCTTGCCAAGTATCAAACATACCCAGTCTTTGTTCTGATTATCTTTCATTTATAACAGCATTTCTTTTAAAGCAGGGTTTGGTGTTAATTATAAATTGTATGATGATGTTTGGCTTTTAAAATATTTTTCTTGGCGTAATTATTAATGTACACAATTCCATAAATGTTGAGTTATGATGTAAAATGGAAACTTATAAAAATTGAGAGCTATTTCTTTTTTAATTAAGAATTAAACGGGCGCATACAAATAGTGTACATTTCATTAATTATTATATCGAGAAGGTTTGTGTTTTTTGTAAACGTGCTACGTTTGTAACAGTTTCCTGAATAATAGAGGTGCAACAAATTATTTAGTCGATATTTATCAAATTCCCACAAGCTTTTATCTTTTTAATATTAGTATAATAAACAAACTGCCTCATCTGTTTGCAAGGATTGTTTTTTTCAATAAATTTTTGTTCAAGATGAGAATCTATCAGAAAGCTAAAATAAAGAAGATGAACTAGCATTAATTCGATTATCACGCCAATTACATTTTTTGTTGATACTTGTTTTTACAATAAAAGGCTCATCTTACATTTTGAGTTGTGCAGGCCTGGTGCATGAGATGGGAAAGAAATAAGCCCATAAAAACCTTAATTCATTTGTAGACATTCAAAAAAACCCAACAACCTTGTATAATGTAAACCATTCGGTTTGAACTATTTGGTTCCGCATATCTGAACTAAAGTTGGGTGCTCACTTGATTCACTATAATAAATGAAGGACTGCGTTCTACATAGCCATGTGAAGGAAATACTAGGACGCGGTGATTTAATCAAAAGACATGACAACAAGATATGAACGTTTCGGCCAAGAGTCTTCCTCAGCAGACAAGACAAAAGAAAATAAGACAAGAAATAGAGAACAGTTAAAAACTTGAGTGACCACCATTGTTATTGCCGGATGTTGGATTTTTCAAAAGCTAGATTATTACAGGAAGTGGAAGAATATATGTTTTTTTTTAATGTTAAAAATAAGCTTTAAATCACGGACCTTAAATCTTTGATTTACTAAACACATTTCATAATACGTGGAAGATTTTCAGCAATGTCAATTATGATTGTCGACGTAAGCAAAATGTTGGACTGTAAGAGGGCTTCTGTGCATTTGTAAGGTATAGCACACGACTGAATGTAAGTATTTTATTATTGTGCACTATTACACTTTTAGGTAGGAAGCAACAACAATGCCCCTTATTGGGCTTGTAATTAAATGTTGGAACAATCTTAGATATTAACGTGATACTTACAATGTAAGGCCAGTGAATTAAAAAAAAAATTAAGTACCGGTACTAAAATTGCTGCATCTAGAGTCATGGAGTTAATCACGTATTTTAATTTGTTGTGTTAACGAATTAGAGTCATGGGGTAAAAAAAAACTTATTTTAGTTTTTGTTTTAAAGAAATAGAGTAGAGTCATGGGGTAAAACACTTATTTTAGTTGTTTTAAAGAACTAGGGTCTTATGGTAAAACATATACTTAAGTTATTTGTTTTAAAGAACTATGGTCATATGGTAAAACATATACTTAAGTTAGTTGTTTTAAAAAACTATGGTCATATGGTAAAACATAAACTTAAGTTAGTTGTTTTAAAAAACTATGGTCATATGGTAAAACATATACTTAAGTTAGTTGTTTTAAAGAACTAGGGTCATATGGTAAAACATATACTTAAGTTAGTTGTTTTAAAGAACTATGGTCATATGGTAAAACATATACT